TTAATATCGAGCACGCAACGTGAAAAATGTAAATTCGCTCGATCTCCGATCCTGTACAGTACATTGATTCCTACGAACCACATTGTCGGGCAAAGTTCACTTTTCGCGCCAGTTATTACGCAAACGCCCGCCCGGTTGGCGTAATTTCACGTTGTTTTAGCGGCTCAGGCAAACTTTTTAGTCAAATTGAGTAAGGGATCGTGCATTGAATGCAAATCACCGCGACATAACGCGATAGGACCCGTTTCATTTCTCCTTTTTTGCGGTGAAGTTCGGCGGCCAAACTTATGCGCCGCTGAAGTTATGCCGCGCGCACTCCCATGATTCCAGCCCGTCGTCGCCTATAGGATGCTACGAAAAGTTTGCTTTTGACGCGGTGGGTTGCACGTGACGAATTCAAATCAGGCGTAAATACTTAAAGCAAACACTCCGCGAGAGGCTGGTAGGGATGGGGCTGCAACTCAGTTTTAAAATAAAGCATTAGGAACGACGAGCGGCGACGGGGTTGTTAAGAAGGGTGGTGTTGCTGTGCCTGGACCGGTCTGCCTTTCAAAGTTTACGGCGAACTTTGTGTAAACTCACCGAGTTTAGCAGTGAACTAGTTCATTGAACGCAGATCGGTAACCGCAATGAATGAGTCATAGATCATTTCGATTGTCCTCTGAATTTAAAATATCAACAGAATCAAAAATGATCCCGCAAGAGAGAGATCGGAGTTTCAATTATTAAGTAAATAAACTCTAAGTTTACGCGAAATGTGATAAATATTTCGCTTTAATTAAGGCAGTATCTTAAATTAAAACTAAATTAAATTGAAAGACCATCAATAGAATCAATATGCGCTTTAAAGATGATTCGACAATCTACAAGGGAGATTTTAATTCAGTTTGGCCCTGGAGGTGGATCTATAGCGATTTTCAAAATGTTTGGTTATCATTACAAAAGCAATCATATATATTGATATAAATATTTATGCAATATCTGTGATAGATTTTTATACTGCTTGTTATTCAAATTGAATCTTTCTTTATTTTCTTATTCTTTAAGAATTGTCAAAGTAATACTTTGTTTTAATGCAAAATAATAGTAGGCGGTCGATTTAATATTTTATATCTTTTATTTCGACCTGAGAAAATAATATTGTCAAGTTGCAAGAAATCCTCATGTATCGGAAAATTCTTTCCATATATATATATATAAAGACAATATATAAGAGAGGCAAGTAAGTTGCCTCCCTTTTTTAACTCACAGCTAAGAACAGAAGAATCGCATTTGAACTTTTATTTCGATCAGACACAATAGGAAATATATCGACAACTATACTATAGTATCGCGAAAGTTGCGAAGATGGTATTATTTATAATAAAAAGCAGAGAATTTAATTATTAGAATATTTTACAAGAAGTATTAAAATATTTAAAACGGATTACGTTTAAGATGACAGAGACGTTATCCAATGATTTCATAGCGGATTTATGTGCTGTAAGTTAATTAATAATATTTTCAAAGTCTATAAGTAATAAGCGGAATTTAACGAAGATAGATCTCCAAGTAATGAAACTAAAAGCACAACGTAGCCGTCCAGATTGGCGCAATATCAAATGACTTAGTACGCTATAGAACGAGTTTTTAATTCATTAATGATATTTGGTCTAAAAATATTACAGGCTTAAAATACAGGTTATTAGAAACGGAAATTTGATCTGTAGTTTTTTTTTTTTTAGATTAATCACAATAAGTCTACAGACCATTGCATTCACTATTTCAAGCTCCAATAAATATAAGAAATTTAATCGAGAGGTACGTATATGTTCAGAAATATGTAAAAAACAGAAAAAGAACATATTGATCCATTTTAGACTTCATATACATACACATCCCTTAATTTAATGCAATATAAGTTCGATCGATTGAATTAAAAGAGTTAATGAACGTCGGCGCTCTATTTTACCCAACTGGACTTGTTTCTCTCTCCGCGGAAAATATACATTTGAAAAAAAAAAAAGAGAGAAAGAGGAAAAACAATTAAGAACATTCCGCCACTTACCTCGGACGATGAGCTTGATCACAGCTTCCGGCGTATTCCTGTTGTTCACGAGACACTCGTACATACCGCTGTCGGCGGCGGTGACGGGATGCAGCTGCAACGAATAATTTTTCAACGACAGAGACATTCTGTTCTGTTCTGTTCGCCGCACGACAGTCGTGCTTCTGCTCTTATACTCGAGCAGCCGCATCCCGTTTGCCCGCCACTCGAGCATCAACACCAGCGAATCCTCCGTCACTCCCGGACACCCCAGCGTGACGTTCTTCCCCGCCTCCACGACGACGTCTTCCACCAACGAATTCATGGCATCTGCGAACATAGATCCTTCCATTACATTCGTCGTAACATTCGTAGCGAACGTTATCGTTGTGATAAAAACAAACGTGATCTCGGGGCTACGGTCCAGGAATGAGAATCGAGAAGCGAATGGGTGAACGGGCCCCGTGACGGATTCTTGTGGGTTCGGGTTTCACCTGCGTCAGGACAATTTCAGCGCAGAGCGAATAAAATCCGTGAATGACTGGACGTTCTTCGACTTAACAGCGCATCACGCTTCCTCGTAAGACCGGATATAAAAGAATTCTGACAAGGAAACATGTTAAAAAGAACTAACGTTACCAACCGAAATATCACGTTTGAAATAGATATTCTAGATGGTCAAATTTTGGGATTTTACGAATTCATACCCCACTTGGGCTGGAATGCTTGGCCATTTTAACTTGTTAAAGACAAAATACTTTGAAAATAATGCATTTAAAAAAAGTTTCACATAAAAATTGTAAGATTTAAAGAGGACCATCAAAAGATAAGCTATCTAGATTGTGACCAATAAGTTCCTGGATCCAAAATCTAATTAACTCATCTGATGGTTCTCTTCATTTTTTATTTGAAACAATTTTTCAAAAATGCGTCTATTCTCGAAATATTATAATTTATCCAAGTTAAAATGGCCAAACATATTTCGGCCCAAGTCGGATACATAATCCATAGGATCCCATGATTTGACTACCTGGAATACTCATACCAAACGTGATCTTTTGACCGCTAACGTTAGTTTTTTTACATCACTTTTCAATGTAGCACGTTCTCTTCTGAGCGCCGTCGATTGCGTCGATTTTTTTGGATCCGCACGCGCTCTCTTTCTCTCTCTCTCTCTCGAAGGAAAATTTAAATATTTTTTAACCACGCGACACGAACGAGTGATCTTGCGCACAACGGAGAGCTATTGCAGTTCCCTCGCGGTAAACGCTTGGAATATACTTGAGGGGATTAATGTACGCGCGAGTACGGCCAACACCGTAGCGAGATAGCTTCCGATCGACTTTTAAAATTTCACGCGGCCGCGCCGGATCGTAATTTGCAACGCAAAATATACGATGCCCTGGCTTGCGCGAATAAGCTCCACGCCATATTGCATCGCGGAATTTCTGAATACCTAGGCATCCAATTTTCTTCCTAACGAGTTGAATTTTTTTCTCCAACAGGAATATCTTCGATACACATTCTGGAACGTACGCTCTCCATACACGCGTTGCTATTTTACTCTCTCCGACCGCAAAACACCGTCGTCTAGAAAATCTATGAAAATCCATGCACGAACGAATGACACGCCAAGAGTTCGCGCGTGATTTCGTAAGCGTACACATACAGATATACATATATATATCGCGTATGAATATGTATCCGCTGTATCACGGAGCGAACCGTCGATCGTACGTGGCGAAACCGCGCCGGACATCACGATGCGGCAGGTCATCGAAGTAATTCACGAAGGGATTCCCTCCGCAATCTCTGGAAAGCCCTAGCAAAGCTTTCACTACGCGGATTTTCCAGCAAAACGGTATTCAGATCACGCGTACGTATTCATACGTGCATAAAGTACAAGTTCGAACCTTGCCAAGCATGCTCCTTTAGCGCATTCCCCGTCTCTTTCTCTTACGATCGGCATAAATCACGGCTCGCCCTTTGAGCTACGTCGTTGGACGAGTAACTGTCCCGTTCGTCTACCTTTGCAAACGCGATAACAAATTTATCGCAAAATAATATTTCTTCGCTCCTTGAAAATTCCCGCGATAAATTTTCTCTCATTCCCGTTAAATTTCACTCGTTCTTTTTTTTTTATTTCTTTTTAAAATTTATGTGCGGAATATATTCTAGTTCTCTTCTCTCAAAGCTAACACTGATTATTTTTACTGCAGAATGTTTATCTAAAAGCCTCTATCTCTCTCTCCTTTCTTTACTTTTAATTTTATGAATTCCTTTATCTTTCAAGTAGAACAATTTTATTTGATTGACAGCCTAATTGGCTAAAATAATTTAAATCTGGCCATTTTATATTAATATTAAAGGGAGACTGATGTATTTTTCATATACGTTTGCGGCAAAATAAATGAGATTTTTTTTATGATAATGATATTCATAATCAATAAAGCGCTCTAATAAAATGTGCCAAAGACTCGCACACTTTAGTAGTTCATTAATCAATAAAACATCATAACTCATTTCGATGGCTCGAAATAGGACACTTGAATTAAATAACGCGGCTATTTATTGATTATAGAATCAAGTCGTCTGATATTCAACATATTTATCTTGAATTTTCATCATCTACAAAATTTCGCAAATATATACTAAAATTATATTCTATATATATAATTTATTTTTTTCTTCTAAGATTATGAATGCAGATGGCTGTCCGACATATATAAATGTACATATGACATCGATCTAGTTTTAAAACTAAATTTCTTCAAACGTAACGTCAAAGTTACTCACGAAATGAGTCGACTGGGAAACGTTTCATGTCGGAAGATATCTCGACGGAATTTTCAAGCATACGTCGCTTCTCAAAGCTTCCTATATAAACCTTCTAAAAACTCAGACTACTCGCCCTCCCGCTTAACGTCATTACTTTACATCACCAATCCATGGGACCGTAAGGGGTATGTTGGGAGTCCTGTTAGCTCTCGATTAGTTCTCGATGGAACGCGCATCTATGAATAAAAAAGCATGCGTGGGGAAAATTAACGAAAATGCAGGTCGAAATAAACGCAATCGAGAGCATACAGCGGGAAAGTAATCCAACTGTTAATGACGTCGATCGTTTCGATAACCGCGCCAGTGAACACAAGAATGGAAGGCAAAAAGAATGAAACGAAAAAGAAGAAAGGAAACGATATAACGCATGGATACGTGCGATAACGCTTTCACATGATTCCGTCAACGAGAATCACCCTCGTTTGCACTAGCGACGACGAGGCATTCGCGGCTGCAGGACACTCGTAAAATCGACACGGCAGATTGTCCAAGAAAATAAAACCGTAATCGCACGTTTTGACAACAGTTCCTATATGACACACAAGCGCAAAAAAAAACTGCGAAAGAAAGAACTCCGCACAAATCACATAGAAAAAGTAGCTTCGGTCAAATTGGCTGAAACTATGATATTTTGTAAATTGTGAAATGCTGATTAAAAGTTTTCTTGGGCAAAACTATAAAAAATGGACAAATTTTGCTGTAATACCATTTGAAATTTTGAGTCTAATAGGACTGAAAAGTCTTTATTTGCTAAATTATTTTTTTGTTACTATATCTTAATATTTTTATACACATAATGACTATACAGAATAATGACTCAATTAATGTACAGAAAACACATAGTTGCTCTAAAAAAATGTAGTTTGTAAATATACATACTGCAAATTGCATAATTTTTTTAAAGCAACTATGTATTTTCTTTACACCAATTGATTCATCTCATTATTATGTGCTTACAAGTATTAAAGTACAATTATCAAAAAATGAATAGTTTAGCAGATAAAGAAACTTTTCAGTCCAATTAGACTCATAATGGCGACTTACGAATAATGCTACGTTAAAATCTATTTATTTTTTAGGCTTTTGCCTGAGGAAATTTTTGATCAGCCATTCATAATCTACAAAATATCGTAGCTTCAGCTAATTTTACTGAAGCCATTTTTTCCATACGATTTATACGGAGTCTTTTGCGAACAAAGGCGGAAATCTCTTCCGCATGTTTCAATCGCGAGCCAAATCCGCAAGCGTAATATCGAGGAAACGGTTTCCTGCTACCTGTGCTTCTCGGTTCACATAATTCCGCACGCCATTTCGTCGCGCGATCCACGCAAATTCAGAATATTAACGTCATAAACTTTCACGAGCTAATAACTAATCCTCGACGCAATTCGACGTTCGTACTTGGAGCTCGTGTTTAGACGTCGATCGCGCGAGCTGCGCAGTAAAATAATAGCAGTCGCTGAAAGATACCAGTACCGGCGCTACGTGTGTGCGTTATATTCTGTGCCAACTTCGGAGTGTAATCGATATAATTTAACTACACGGGCTGCGTTCAGAATTTCATCCGGATGCACCCAGATATTATTTTATCCTTGTTTAATATTCAGTGAACAACAAGGATAAAGTAATACCTGGATGCACCCGGGTGAAGTTTCTGAGCACGGCCATAGAGAGAATGAGGAAAGCAGAGTAACGGAAGGATCCTCGAGGATTGTAGAGAGTTGCCAATGTATATCACTTAAGCTATTTTTCATTATATTTTCCATTGGGTACTAATTTGTACGCAGCAATAGAAACTGTGATTTTATATTTCGAATTTATTATTACATGTCTCACTTTTCTTCAACAAATTAATTTGTTTAAGTCTTTTTGTAACATGTTGCAAAAGGCAATCGATCGTCTAATTCAAATCTATATAAGTCTTCCAATCGTATCTCTTTTGAAAGTATTGAAAGTATTTATGAATGAAACAAATTAAAAATAGAAGATTAGTAAGAGAAATCGTTAACTTAATTAGTATGTAATAATTAATTAATACCTAATTTTAATAATTTATCGAAAAAAAAGATCAAGTATTTAATAATTATAAAACAACAATAATGACAAGACAAGAATGTCAAAGCAAGATCGGCTTCAGATTATTTTTGCAATTGAAATTGTATTCATATATCAATTATTAATTTCATTATTGTCAATTATCAATCTTATCTTGCGGTGGTACGATTCATAGAAAATCTGATGAATTTTATAAAAAATAGCAATTTAGTCTTTTATAATAATTGCAAATATTTATATGTATGTTAATAATTAATGTAAAATATTTTATAATAAATTTTTTTATAAAAATATAAAAATTCATAATAAAATTGCATATATCAGCTACACAAATTTATTAAAAATTTATTTAAAGTTAATATCAGATGTACCTGATTGTTTAAAATACTGCTAACATATCTATAT